AATTAAAAAGGAGAAACTATTTACAGTAGCCTTAGAGGACATCAATTACCTAGGAATAAATCTAACAAAAGATAAACTAAAACCCACTACAGGGAAAATCTTAAACTGCCACAAAGATTCAAACAATGGTGATATACAACATGACTGCTGAATAAAACATTCAGTTTTCTCCAAATTAATCAGTGGGGCAATTTTGGTCAAAATCCAAAAAAGCCTGTTTTGGAAAGGAATCTGATAAACAGTGATCAAAGTATTGCTATGTATGTGGGGAGATCAAGAGCCAAGACTAGCCAAGAATAGGGTACTTCTAAGGAAAATTAAGGAGGGAAATAATTGTCCTACAGACATCAGGGCTTAATGAAAGTCACAGTAAAGGAGATAGCAAAGGCATTGAGATGTATGCTAACCAATAGACAGAGAGCCCGGAACTAGACCCACAATTATGTCAAATGCCAACACATGACCAAAATGTCAGGTCAGATCATCTGTGAGGGAAGAGACCACTTGGGAATAGGAAAACCGTTATCTGTATGAAAAATAAATGAAACTGGATTTTTTCCCAGTTACCTACCCTGTGTTTCTAAGACCCAGTCTCACACTTCTATATTCCTCTGTATAATGTTGGGGTACAATGTAGAGTTGTTCTATTAGGTGAGGTATTCAATTCCACTACAAAGGACAAGGACAGCAAGTGAGATGGGTAGAGCTCCTCAGATGTATTAACTACAGGGGATAAGCAAACAAGTAACTTGTGAGAGGTAGGCAGAATTCAGAAGATGTACTAAAATATTAGTAACCTCCAAGGCATGTAAAAATAGAATAAACGAAACAAACTGGAGTGTTACTTGCAGATAGAGAGGGATAGAAAAAAAAGTAATAACTCACAAGGTATAGATCATGCCACCTGTGAGCTGAAAGCCATTACTAAATTGTCTACCTATTAGTGACACCATTCTGGGGCCTATATGCTCTGTCGCAGAAATGCTGACACAAAAGATGGCTGTCCAGAACATTGATGGAGTGTACAAAGACCAGAGGTCAGGCCTGTCTGCTCTTGCACCTCACAATGAAGCAAATAGGTATGAGTCCCCGAGCATGTACCATTTGCTCTCTTACTTAATCTCAATTCTGGTTCTCATAATTACCCTGGAATAAAACACAAGACTCAGATAGTATATTCCATTCACCCTGTTTGTATACTACCCCAAGCGTGTCAACCTACCCCAACTCCTGCCCCTTGGATCGGGCTCTATATTTTAAATAGATTCAAAAACTTTTGTGATTTGATCATCACAATTTGGTTTGAGTCTTCCTGGTCAGTGACCTCTGGAATAATCTGCCCATCATAGAGGCAGCCACTGTATCAAAGTAATTTCCCACAGGACACAGCATGTACATTTCTTAACCTCCTTTGTCAGCTGGTTTCCAGTTTGGTTCTGCCAAAAGATGCAGGAGAATGGAAGGCAGAAAGAGAAAGAAAGGGACTTTCTCAAGGACATAGGCTCTCATTGCTTCTCTCCAGCATCAGAACACCCCCACTACCAGGCACCCCTCCCTGCCATACGGGGACCAAACCCTGAGCACTTTCAAAGACCCACAGAGAAAGCATGCAACATGTGAGAAAAGTCTTGTTCCAAAATATGAAACTAGAAAAATCAGAATTAACAATTGTTTTTATTAAATGCTTACCTACAAAAGGTAAACTTCCTCGACTTTTAAACTTTAAACTCCAAACTCTTTAATAGTTCCATGTAAGTGTAATAGTTTAGATTCCAAGAACAAAATGAAGAATATATTTTTAAACTCAGGATTGTCAAAGCCATTTACCTCTGTAGTTTGAATGCATCCTTCATTTTTCATGTGTTGGAAACCTAGTATCCAAATTCATATGTACGCGGTATTTGGAGGCAGGACCTTTGGGAGGCTCATAAGAGCTCTGTCCTTATGGATGAATTAATCCATTTATGGGTTCATAGGTTGTTGAGGGAATGGTTTTGTTATAAACAGGAACTTTCTCTGGCTCACTTGCTCTGTCTTGCCATGTGATGCTCTCACTGTGTTATGATGCAACTAGAATATCCTCACCAGATGCCAGTAGAATCAGGTGCTCTTGGAACAACCAGTCTCCAGGAGCCAATTGTTCTTTACAAATGATCCAGTCTCAGGTATTTTATTATAGCAACAGAAAATAAACTGATATTTACCTTATTTTTTACGTCAAAGTCGTTACATTTAACAAGGGATGAGGTCCTATTTTTAATTTAGCAAGAAGCGTGTATGTGTTTGGGGATAGGATATGTTCAAGAGTAAGAGTAGTCATTACCTACAAAGATCTATAAAGGACCTGATAGAGCCTCTCACTCAGGATATTTTTGTTGCTGTCTCCACTCTGGGTGGTATAATTGGAATCCTCTTCTAGCAACAGCTTAGGGAAGCAGAGATTCTGAGAGCCAAGCCATAAAGACTAAAGCTTTGAAGAGACTACCTCAACTGTCTGGCCTGTGAGGAAACACAAGGCTGAAGCCATAGAGTGGCCCCTATGTGGCCAGAACCTGTGCTTGTGGGTGGCTGGGGCAAGGGTGTGTAAGTTGGAATGATGAGTCCCAGTGACCTGGAAAGCATGTGGAGTGACCAGTCATCACCTAGCTTCATAGTTCTGGTGCATCTATAGCTCTGCTGGCCAGAAAAGATACTGCGCCAGTCTCAAAACAATGGAATTGCCAGCCTCCCGCTTTTATTTTCCCTTGATGCCTGGCATCCATTTGTCCTCATTCCATTGTACCTGGAGTGTCTTCTTTCCACACTAGGGCTTCTTGAACCAGTGTGCAAAAAAAAAATCATAGGAAGTACTTATTAAAAGTACAGATTCTTGGCCCTTACCCTTGATTCTGATTCTGGGTAGATAATGCTTCAAGAAACTCTGCTTCACAAAATAATTCTTTCTCTTCTCTTCTCTTCTCTTCTCTTCTCTTCTCTCTCTCTCTCTCTCTCTCTCTCTCTCTCACTCCCCTCTTTTTTCTCTCTCTTCCTCTCTTCCCTCCCTCCTTCTCTCTCTCCTCCCAAGCTAGTTAAGATTCTAGAGGTAGAGAGGTAAGTTTCTCATTTCTCATGGTCCAGCTATGGAAGACAAATGGCACTTGGAATTAACCTGAAGAAATTTCTGGGAGTAAAGTTAGAGCCAAGTCGACCACATGTGTTTCCTTTTCTAGCAGGAAATACCATCCCACATTTCATTCACAACTTCAGATTGGGTACCTGAAGCAGACCCATCTCCTGAAGCTAAGGCATTTGAAGGGAGGGGAAGATGTGGTATTTTCCTTGTTAGTTGGGAGTCCCAAGGACCAATACCTGATTTTAAATGTATTTTAAAATGCATTTTGCAGCCCTTTTTGTCCCCAGCTGCAGGCCCTTGATAACAATGTGGTCAGATTTGAATCACCATTTGCCCTGAAACAAAATCATACTGTACCCTTATACAGTGTTCAATCAAATCTGTATATGAAGCATATTAAGCTTTTATCATGAGATGAAAAGCTTCATTCACTATTTTTTAAAATGTTTCTAAGTTGTTGATGGACCTTTATTTTATTTATTTGTATGGGGTGCTAAGAATTGAACCCAGTGCCTCATGCATGCTAGGCAAGCACTCTACCACTGAGCCACAACCCAGTCCCTTCATTCACTATTCATTTCACTACTTAAAGATACTAAGATCAGAATAAGATTTGGGGTCTTTTTAGAAAGATACCCTTCTGCTGTGTAACTCCAATAATCCTATGGTATCTGTAGAGAAGTATATCAGAAGGGATTCCAAGGTCCTGCTCTAACCTTCCTTTTGTCCCCGTTAGGCAAGAGACTCAGCCATAATGGAAGAGACTGGACTGAGTATTTGCAGTCCTATGACTCAGGATCTCAGAACGTGTTCCCCCAGACTATGCCTTATCTCAATCCCTGCCAGGGTCATCTGCCCAGCCATCTCCTCTCTTCTCCTGTCTCTCCTACCCCAATTCATAGCAAGGCTGACTGCCCAGATGCAAGTTTCTGCAGTTCAATTCACCAACACCCAGAACAACTTGTTGGGAACAGAAAGCTTGGGAATGAATAAGGTGGTGGAGGGTGGAATCACTGGAAGTTCTTCTGAAGGTATAACCAAGTGAAGCCCCTAGAGACTTAGACTCAGGACTAAAGAACAGTGACTGGGCAGAAGGCATTCCAGGTGCTGGGGATGGGGGTCTTTTGTCTTCATGATGATGGTAACTGTTACCATCAAACTAAGTGGCAAAATATGGATGGTCATAGGGGAAAAAATATCCCTCAAAATAGCACAAATACTATAGATCTGGGGGAGGGGGTGAGAGAAAAAGTCTACAAGGATACATTGAACTGCCAAAATGTGTAATTATAGTAATTTACGTGTCCTGCCCTTTTTAAATTCTTCATTAACATGCAACACAGTATCTACTGTGTCTATCATTAAATGTGTCGGATTGAACAAGTGGTGCATTTTACCTGATTGGCAAAATGATCACACTTGTAAACGCAGGCTGTAACAGCAGATTCCTTCCACAGATTGTTCTGGGCTTGACACTTTAAAATGAAGAAAAACACAAAGGTAAGGAGGGGGGCAGGGGTCAGAAGAAACTTGCCTCTATCCTGGCCACCAGCAAGGCTGACACAGAGGGTTAACAGTTAAGTGCAAGTGCAGCTTGAAGTCTAGAATCAGGATCAGGCCTCTTCAGAAAGCTGAACAAGACGTCTGGGGCCACGCAACCCTCCACCTTTTTGGACTCACGTCCTCGGCCTTTGGGACTAACCAGGGAAGCTCACTTTAGTGGCAGCCAAGGCGAGGGGCCGGCCTTGCCAAGACTAAAGAGGGAGGAGGGGAAAAAAAGCAAGAATCCCCCACCCCCTCCGGGCGGAGGGGGCGGGAGGAGCGCGTCCCGGCCGGGCCCAGCAGTGTCTTCCACTCTGTGCATCTCTTCGGGAGCGACGCGGGAAGGATGCTGGGCCGCAGGAGCGCGCGCGCGGGGCCCGGGATGCCGCGGGGCTGGACCGCGCTCTGCTTGCTGAGTTTGCTGCGTGAGTACCGATCGCGCGCCGCGCCGGGGCGCCTTCCCAGCGGGGAGGGTCGAGCGGCGGCTGGGCTGAGCCACAAACAGAGCTGCGCGAAGGGAAGGGACCCCTGCCCCACCCGCGCACTGTCGCCCACCGTTGCTCAGGAGGGACCAGCGTTTCACCTGGGACTCGGTGGCGGTGGGAGGGGAAAGACACCACGGGAATGTAAATTTACCCGAGGTGTGAGCCGGACAACACGGCTCGCTGAAGTGGACTAAAATAAAGCGCTTTGGAGATGCCAACGTTTCGGCGTTGCCAAAGGTGCGGAGCGCAAAGTTGGAGCGGGAGCCAGGAGAAGGGGGAGGAGGGAAGCCGGAAAGTTGTGCGGCTGTTGGTTGATTCAGAAAGCAGCGTCCCAGAGCGGGTTGGTGGGAAGGGCCCCGGCGCCCACAGTCTACTAGGACCGGGGATCCACAATGGGCATTAAGGAATTCAAGGGAAGCCAACAGGGGGTGAGGTGCAGGGTCCTGGGAGTCCTAGAGGAAGGCCGAGTTGGGTGAGCAGAGGCGTTTGGAATGAACAGCCCTTGAGGTTGGGGGAGGGGGGTGATCTTGCATTAAAGATTGGAAAGCAAAATTAGAATTACCCCTCCAGATACAGCTGGGATCCTATCGAGGGCTCCCTGCCTCCCTCTCTTCACAATTCCTCACCCCTGCACAAACCCAAAGTATTTATTGCTCGCCTCCAAGTTCTAAAGCTAGCAGACAGGTCAGGACACTCCTTGCTCACCCCCACACACTCTGAAGCTCTTGCTCTCACTTTGGAAAAAAATAGTAGGCACTCACTAAACATAATTAATTGTTTTCATTGGGGAAATAACCTTTCCATCTCATCTCACTTAGAGGTTTGAAACTTTGTAAGTCGCTCTCCCTTTATTAAACAACTCTCTAGGGCTCCCAGTTCCCAACTCACTACATGCTAAAGACCACCCACCTTGGGTGGCCCTGCAAAGTAGATCTGCTTGCTGGGCCTCTTTGCTCCCAGTCTCCTCTACTATCCCTGTTTGGGTCCACCCAGTTGGAGAGAGCTGGCTTGGCTTGGAGGAGGCCGAGTTAGGTTCTGGGTTGAGTGTTTGGAAACCTTGGACACGCTCTTTAGACAGGGATAAAGCTGTTGGTGAGGTTTTGAAACCCTAGAATGGGTGCTACACTGTTCCCTCATAGCAGGGGTGAGTTGACCAATGGCTCAGATTCCCATCAGATGCTGCACTTTCTTTTGGCCGCATAGCTCATGCTGACCTGGGCCTGGGCTAAGGGAGGCCCACCCTTTTTTATTTCCTCAGCTGGCTAGTATCATTCTTGCCTTGGCCTGCAGAGGAGGGCTGGGGGGGATGTAGTGCAACTGCTGCAAAACCTCTGACAGATGTGCTGGGAAGTTCAGCATCTCAGCTTTGGACTGAAGAATAGTCTACTACTTGGACTTAATGCTTTCCCCAAGACCTCTCTAGGGTTTCTGTTTAGATTTTTTTTTTTTTTTTATTTTTTATTAGGAGTTATTTTCTGTCCTGGGTATATTGTAGGATAAATGAAATGAGTGACTATAAGTTGAAATGCTACCAATGGGCCATTGCAAAAAAAAAAAAAAAAAAAAAAAAAGAGTGTAATTATTACTGAGAAATTTAGTGTGGAGTTCTGTGATGTCTCATTACTATCCCAATGAAGAACTTGGTCTCAGGAGCTCTATGCCTGTGAGATTGGCATGGACACAGGCATAGCAGCTAACCACAAATGGGCTCTCTTTGCAGAGGGTGGGTTAGGGACCCCTGGGCAGCACAGCTTAGCTACCAGCCCGGTGGGAAGCCTTTCAGTAATTAATTAAGGATCCTTTTTCTTTTCTTTCTTTTTTTTTTTTTTTTTCAGGCTTAGGGTCTCTTTTTCCTTCAAAGTCTATAACTCCCCTCACCCTGACAACACCCCCAGTCCTGCCGGAATAGGTCACATTCCTTTTCTTTCTTTGGGTCCTTCGTGCCTGTGGACCTCACACCCATATCCTGTCTGGGGCTATACATGTAAGAGGGGAAAAAGAAAAGGGAAAAGAATTTTATCAGATATTTTCCAGAGGGGAGCGGACTCCACCCTTTGACTCTCTGCCACATGGCGATGAGAAGGAGTAGCCTTGGGGACCTCTGACTAAGTCAGTGGTCCCCAGTGCTCCCCCTTGTAGGGCCAGCCCAGTCTGCACAACCTTTGCAAATCCTGGACTTCACGGCATTCCTGTTTGGCTGATAGCACTTGCTAGGGCCTTGGGCCCTTTTCTTATCCCTTTGGCTCCACCTCCTGGGCCTCCTCATCTCCTTCCTTTCCTGAGTCTTTGTCTCCAAATGCTCAGGGCAAGAAGTGCCAAACTGCAGCAGATAAACCCAGGCACAGAGTCCTACAAAAACAAATAATAAGGAGGAACAAATTCCTCTCTTACGGTCTCATTGCCTTATTTCCTTTAGACCCTGGGCTCAAAGGCCTGGGCTTACATTCAGGGTTGGATGGTTACCCAGCTCCACCCTCAGGGCACTTGGGCCTCTCTCTCTCATGGACTTCAGTTGATCTAACTAAAAGTCCTGTGGTGTGGAGAACAGGAAGCATGAAGGTATGGGAAAAGAACAAAACTCCACCCTCCAATAGAAACTTCTCATGGTTGCCAGGGCAGAATTTCCATATTTTTTTGGGCTTCAGCTTCTCTAATGAGAACATTTTCTTCCCTCTAGCTAACAAATGAAAACACATTCTCTACAATATTTTGTCTAAAGGGCCCTGATTTTTGTGCTATAAGGCAAAAGATGCATGCATTTTGGGAAGGCAGAGATCAAATAGAGAGACATGACAAGGTGTACTTCACTGGACCCGCACTGTGGGCCCCATCAGGGAATGAATCACTTCCCTTCAGGTGCAAGGGGAAAAGCCTTTTGGCTTAATTAGGAGGTCTGTTCCTTCCTGATTTGGAAAAAAAATAAAATGAAATAAAAACAGATACCCCTTAGGGAAGTGGCATCTCTAGATATCGGTGCTCCATTGTTAAAGAAAATGTGTTAATTGGATCTTTGGGTGAGAAAGCCAACAACCTAGACAAACCCTGGATGTGCAAGGGCAGACGGGAGACAGGCTTGCTAAGTATGATAAACTGGGCTTTGTGTTTGGGTAGTCTCAAGAGACAAAGGCTAGAGGGCTCCAGAGCCCAGGGAGAGGAGACCTACCTGCAGCAAGAGAGGAACAGTGATGGGTGGAGGGTGGAAAAGACCTGGCTAAGAAGATTCCTTGTAGTATGACGTCATTAGCATGGTAAGATATGATGTTTCAAGGTTATACCGTCATCTTTCCTAGGATGCCCTGTAATCTTGCTCCACTCTCTCAAACCTTCAGTAAAAATCATTTTTTTGCCTACTGGTCTTGTGTGAGTGGTTCTCTGCAAAGACTAAAGGAATGGGTGCTTGGCTAGCTTATGTTGAAGTAGTGTAATAGTGAGTACAATAAGATATGGAGCTGCAATCCAAGGGTCACAGGAGCTAGGAAAACAGAAAGACATGAGTGGAAGAAATGTAGGCAACCCAAGGATCCTGAGGCTATTGAGGTTCCAAAGTAAATGGATGGGGTCAAGACAAGCTATATGACTATAAAAGAAAAATCTCAGTACACTGGGGATGATCAGGCCGCAGACTCTTACCTGGTTTATGCCTGCATCTCAGCTTTCCCTTAGGAAGACATCAGCCCAGCCTTTTGTTCTAGTTTAGTATGTTTCCAACTCATGGTAGATCAGAGGGTTGGCAGGGACCCCTAACAAGGATGTTTCCTGAATGCTTCCAGGAAACATGAGGGGCTTACTTATCCCACAAAGTAGCTCATCTCATTTAAAAAAAACAAAACAAAAAAAACAACCTACATTAAGTTTTCTCCTTGTATTGCAGTGAAATTAGCTTTACTGTAACTTCTAATCACTATACTAATTTTTTTTTTTGATTGTCATAGGTTTAATCTGGTTCTTCATGAAAATCCCTAAAGACCATTTTAGTCAGCCCCCCTAGATTGTGGAATCCTTGAGGGATTTATTTAAATTACATTGACACTAATGCCTAATGGAGGGAAGGAATCAAACTGGCTTATATTGTGCTCTCTATAGAACTGAGCAAGACCCTTTTCACATCATTGGTGCTTCAGGGGGGAAAATGTGCATATACTGTTTAAGTGAAATGAATCTTGAAAGAAGTCATTTATTCTCCCTTCTCAGATTCTTCTTTTTCAGATCAAGGGTCAGCAAACTTTTCCTGTATAGACCTGGATAGTAAATATTTAAGGTTTGGGGAGCTCTACAGGGTTTCTCATGCACATCTTTACTTTGTATTATTTTATGACACTTAGAAATATAAAAGCCATGCTTGACTCACTGGCCATACAAAATCAGTCCCTGGGCCAGATTTGTTCCGCCAGCGATAGTTTGCCAAGCCCTGATCTAAATGAAATAATGCTAGGTCTTCAACAGTGTGACTTGATTTCTAGAAATCTAATCCTGGTTGTCTTTATGTGGACACTCCCTAACTTAATATATTTCCTCTTAAAACCAAGCATCAGAATGAGACTGCCGTAGTAGAAGCTGTAGGTATGAACATATCCAACACAGCTATTCGACCCTACTGCTTCTCCTGACATCCCAGGATTATCCTCAGTGCCATGGGTAAAACACACAAGTATAAGAATGGCCCCACCACTCAAGATATTTGTAGTCTAACTGAGGTGACAGTTAGACCTATCCTGAGGAAACAGCATATGTGATTTTGTGCCAGATGAGTGATAGAGATAAGCCTTCTGCTCTCTGGGGAGCAGAAGGAAGGGGCTTATCATAATGACAGCTGCTGGCTTTTAAACAACTACCAGACAGGCAAATGCTGTACACTTGGTGACCTCCTTTGTTCCTCAAAATGACCAGGAGGTAGGGTTTGTTTTTAATCCCCATTTTATAGGAAAGGTTTGGAGAGTTAAAATAAGACTATTTATGAGGCTGTGGGCTCCAACCTGTCCTGTCTGAGGACATGTGCTTTCCACCAAGATACCCAGGAACTCCTTCAAAATGCTTCACTTGGGCTGGAAGCTAGCGAGTGGGCAGATTGGGGCTGGCTGTCAGCTGCCCAAGAAACAGCATGGTTAAAAAAAAAATTATGAGAGACCTATGAAAAGTAAGACCAAGTATAGAAAACCTCAGTCTCTTCAAGTATGGGAATTTACTTATAACAGCTTCCTGGAGCTCTGAGAATTTGTAAACCTCCTTTCATGACCAAAAGAATCTTCAACATACTAATTGTAGGTGGAAGTATTTTCAAATGCATTGCGAGTTCCTCTGCCTCTTCAGAGTACACCCCCAGATAAAAGGACTTTCAACCTTCATGACTCAGATGGATCATGAAAATAACGTAGCTCTGTTGCAACTCAGTGACATTGTTAATGCTTATGAAGGTGTGTATCTATTTACTCCTCATAAATGATACCCCACTAGTGCAGGTTTGGTACCCATGTATGCTTTTCATTTATTTTAGTTTCTTAGTTTTTGGCTGCTGCTGCTTCTTATTTGCTTCTAATAGTTTCTTTCTAATTGTCAGCTTTGGCTAAGATAGCAAATAACCAAGTATTTTAAAATTGCATGTCCAACAAGAAAAATTGCTTTTATATAAATACCTATAAGTTCAATTGTGTGAATTTTGCTACATGAATTCTGTGACATCTATTTGACTTCTTATCCTTCTCATTTGTTAACTTCCTGACACCTTGTTTCTTCCCTGGCTCCAAGTTTGTGCATCAAGATCCTATAGGACAACTAAGGTCAGATAGCCCTTACAGTGGTGCGGTTAATAAGGATGGGCTGAGAAGTAAACAACAGAAGGTGGCCTTTTATTCAGTTTTAAGTTGAACTACAGTTCTCTGCAGGGATGAGGTCAAGGGCTGTTCCTCTTGTCTAGAATGGACCACAGTGGAGGTTTCATCAATTGTCTCTCAGCGTCTGACAGATTCCCACTGACTGTAGGCTGCTGTTAGTCCCCTACAGAGCCGCAGGTCAGAAGCTCAGAAAAAGAAAGGCCAGTGTTTGATGGTTTCAGGCCATGGATGTGAAGGGGAAGAGAATAAAAAGAAGCCTGCAGTCAATCTTGACTCTTTGTCTGTCATTCCTTCAAGACCCGGTCTCTTTGGTGAACTTTTAAAGGGAGCCCTGGAGACTGAAGCCCAGGGACTCAACTGAGTGACCTAAGTGATAGTAGCCAGGTCAGGATTGGCTCCCTGGCCATAAGGTCTCCTTGCTTTGTGCCAGTTTATACAGAGCCCGTCCCTTAGCCTTGCCTTTCTGCCCTTCCTTTGTCTACGTCTCTAGTGTTTCAGAAGGTTCTCTGCTCACCCTCGGCTCACAGCCATGAATGTGACGTTAGGGTCCCCTTCTCATTTGCAAACAGATTATAGTACCTTCCTCCATGCTTAACCAAACAGTGGGAGGAGGAGGCTGCTGCAGCTGGGAGCCCGTCCCCCGCGGGTCAGTAGCTGGCCTAGGTCCAGAGTTGCTTCACTATTCTGGAACAGACACCTCTGTCTTCAGAACTAGCAGCAGGTCTCTGTTCACATCTGGAAAAGTTCAAAAGTGTTTTTCTGGGTGAAGGAGGCCCCTTGGGGGAGGGGGTTCAAAAGCATGACATCATTTCTACCAAGCCTTGCTTCCTTTGGAGAGGGAAAAGGGCTGGGCCAGGCTGGACCAGATGAGATTCCCAGGAATTGACGTGTTTGAACAGAGAAGGGAGGGTGTGGGCAAAAAGAGGGTGTCAAGGGGAGATTCCAGGGGTGCCTTGGAATGGTGCCTTGAGCATGATCTTTTATTTCAGTGTCCTAATGTCACCAACACCTGCTCCCTATAATGAATTCATGTCCTAGAGTCAGATTAGTGAGGGGGTCCTATCTAAAAAAGGAAGTAGCGTGAATTGACTTTTACATCTATTTTATTTTGATCAACCCACCTCCCATCTAAGCCAAATAAGAACTCACCCATCCTTGTTTCTCCAGAAGTGTGAAGAATGCATTTGGGCCCTTAGTAGTTTAAACCCAGCCTGACCACCTTACAACATGTTGCAGGAGTCAGCTGAACACCAGTGTCTGTCACTACTTGCCCTACATCATCTATGATCTTGCCTCTTGGTCAACACCTTGGTAATTTATGTTCTTTATCTCTAAAATGGAGATAGTAATATTTCATCTTCTGCCTGCTTTCCTATCACCTAAGAGAAAAAAAAGTGACTATACATTTGCTGTTGATATTAATCTACTTGCAGCCTGCTGGGGAGGAAGGCAGATGTGGTAGAGTGAGACCCTGGTCACCACCTTTAGGGGAAGTCTCCTTGGCCTCAGGTTAATTGACTTGAAGCTAAAAGTCTGACTTCTTTCTTGATGCCGAGGGATCAAGAGGTTTCATTCTACAGTGCTGTTTACCTGTAAACCTCTGAAAAACAGACCTAGATCTTAAGCAGGAAAATTTGGAGACAAGCTTTAGGGTGTCTTGGGATCCTCAGAGGCATTTTCTTGAGGATGGTACTGCAAGTGTGAACTATTGATACTAAGTCGACCTCTAACATTTACAGAGCCCAAGGCCAGAGTACAACAGAGGCCCACGTTCTGTATGTCTACATTTATAACTTCACAGTTTTAAAGCAGGTCAACTAACTGGTAAATAAAATATCTTCTATCTTTGTTAACTTGACAAACATAACCTTCATGGCTACTTGGAAGGCCAGGTTTGAATTTGGGATTCTCACGCTCTTGAAATTCAGTACACAATTTGACTTATCAGGAAGAGATGGACCCTCACCCCAGCCTAATTCTCTTCTCTTCTTCCCTATGACTTGGGCCCACGCTCTGGGGGATTCTTGCATGGATGCATGGATCACCCCACCTATACCCTGCAAGTGGCCAGCACTTGATTACCAGTGGGCCTTGGCCTTACACCTCCTAGTGCTGCAGTTCACCCTTAAAAAGATGGGCTGGGGAAAAGTCCATGCAGATCTCAGATGTGAGAAAAGAATCATTTGAACAAGAAGTCAAAGAACTTCTGGTCCTCAAAGTGCAATCTAGAAGAGAGAGTACATGCCAGTCAGTCCTCACAGGAGACACAGAAGGTCCAAAAGGTCCAGGTAGAAGCCTTTTCCTTCCCGAATCTATAGATGGTACCACTTGGCATGCAGAATATATGGAAATGAGGGGCAAGGACACTTGGAAAGATCTTCAGAGAATGATTAGATTCAGGAACATTCAACTAAAGTAATTTATCACTTGTTATATCATTGATTTTCTCACGTAAGGTAGACAGAAAAGACCCTCACTTAAGAGGTAAGTAAACTGAGGTACATACACATGTGAAATCACATAGTTAGTTCTTGGTGGAGCCAGAATGTAGCGACCCCCCCCCCCACGCCCCTTACACTTAATAAGAAACCAGGCTTTGTGTTCTCTGGTCCATTAGGAATTTTTAGGTTAGAGCCTCTTAAAAAAGAAATCTTGGAGTTCTTGCTGCAACTGAGTTCCTAAATGAAAGGAAAGGAGAATGTATTAGAAGGTCACAAGGGAAAAGATGAGGGGGTTTTGGGAATGAGAAAGACCAAGAAGATTTTTTTTAAAGGAGATTACATAGTGATAGTGTGATTATTCCAAGAGTTAATATGTCAGATGGGGAATGACCAAAAAAGAGAAGGATACATCAAAGAGGAAATAGAAACTTGTCTTCCCTTAGATTTTTTTTTTATCTCTGCCATATATGTATGTGTGTGTATCTCATATATCTCAGGTGTAATTTTGTATTTTAATATTTTACTGAACACTGATGAACATTACCTCATATTTTGACATTGCTGCTTGGAATTTATAAATTTTTATTTGGGAAAATTATGTATATGATTGTGTAGTGACTGTAGTATATTAAGTGTATATGCCATTTATCTTATTATAATTCATTTTGATGCTTGCAACTTTTCCCTCCTACAGTTAGTACTACCTTAGACACTTGGGTGCATATAAATTTTTATTTCTCCGTTTGCTCTGGAAAAATCTAGTAATAGGAAATTAGTCCACTGTCCAGGAGGATTTACTGCTGTTTCATTGCCAGGGGCAGAAGGGGATATTCCAAAAAGTTTCTGCTTGAAGCTAAGAAACTGTGTCAGGAGATGTCATGATGCTCCAGAAAGGTTCTGACTTTTCCTCCTTGTTTCCCTATAGCCTCTGGGTTCACAAATATGGATAACATGACTATTGTTACCCCAGAATCACCCTCCACGAGTATGTCTCCTGAAAGTGTTTCAACAAGTGTACCCAAGCAGGAAAACATAACACAAAGCATCCATGGAAGTAACAGTTTCCATCCTGACGTTCAGAACAGCAGTGAGACCACATCAGACATCTCAGGTAAAGAATTTGTCCAAGTTCCTCAAGCAATGCTGCTGGTACTTTTATAAAGCAGATAGAATGTTTGCAGACCATGTCCTCTGCCACAGATAGAATCAAACTAACCCTTGCATTAGTACTTTGGGCATCTTGCTTAGGGTACTCTGACATAGGTTCTAGATAATTCTTCCAATGATGACATCTTTCTCAGGTCAATGAATTGACAGCTGCTCCTGAGGAGTGATGCTCCCTGAATGCTCCTCTCATGCTGAGTTCAGCTGGTAATAAAGATCAGATGAGGACTGCATAGAGCATAGATCATGGTCTCTTTGAAGGGCTCTAGGTTCATCTTGGGCAACTTCGGCTTCTCTAAGGCAGCATGTAATTCACTTTCAGAATCCGGAGGGCACCTCAAACACATGCTAGATTATAACTATGGTTCCAACAATGGCTTGGAATGAGTTTGGTCGAGATAAGGAGATGAAATAACAGTACCTCCCCAAGCTCCTGTTTCTATGTAAAAATCCCTGTCCATGTCATGAGCTGAGGTTGTGTGTGTTCATTTGTATATATGTGCCTGTGCACACATGAACATTTGAGTTTTGGTGTATTCCAGAGGCTACGGACAGCTGGACATCTACTTCTAGGGTTACCCGAGTCCCCGAAACCACAAACTCTTCTGTCCAGCCACAGACCTCTGTAGCCACCACAGTGTTCACCACCCCAGAAAATGTGTCGACTTCAGAGATGACCTTGAAGCCACCTGTAAATGTTTCAGATTACTCACCCAATAGCACCAGCTCTGTGATAACATCACCCACGGAACCCTATACACTATCTTCTCCTACCCCAAGCATCATCAAGGTGGGTAAATTGGGCCCAAAGGCAGATTGCCCTCTCACTTCATATGCAAGCAAGCTCTCTTTCCCTCTTTTCATACCAGCTGATGATGAGATTTGGATCATATGGGAATCAGCACAGAAATATGCACTTTGAATATTGCTGGGAGGCGTCAGAAATGGGGGAAAGAGCACACTCAGGTGGCAAGGGTGAGCTTTGCTTTGGGTATTGCATTTTTTCTAGTAGAAAGCAAAGGAGATTCTCAGAGATCCATCCAGTCTTCTATGGTTCCTTCTATACCTATAGGTGTGGCTTTGACTTGGGCACCATTTCCCTTTGGGAATATTTAGAATCCATGTCCCATTTAAGGGAGCTGCTTCTCTCACAATATTTAGGGCAAATAGCATTTTGTCTGAGTGAGAGAGTTTGGTGGTTGTGCCAGGCATAGAGAGGCAGTGAGGGCGCCATTGGCAGTGGTAGGAACTGAGTGCACTTGGGATGGTTAGTTCAGCCTGCCCTTCCGAGCCTTGAGGCTGTGGCTGTCAACAGTTTTTAGCATGAAGGGCAGAAAATCTGAATGCATGCAGCCTTAGGACAGGCATGAGAGGCCCACCTAGTTTCTGTTTCTAAAGAGCCAGCATAAGAATCTGGGCAGTCCTAAGGGCCAAGAGGAGAATGGGTGTGTCTCCAGGATCTGTCTGGCCATCCCACTGTCTGTTTGTCTATATGGGCTTCCTGCAAGTGTGCAGTTGACTAGAAGAAAAATAGCCCAACTGGGAAAAGATTCCCTCTCCCATTTCTGTATCATTGGAGCCAGTGTTTATAAATTGTAAATAGTGACTTGCCTATAAGCCCAAGCCAGTAACCCAGTAATGAACGATTTGATTATCCAACAGGGATAATGTGTAAAATGGAAGAATACAGAATCAACACAGGCCGAATATCCCTTATCTGAAGTGCTTGGGACCAAAAGTGTTTTGGGTTTGGGATTTTTTTTTTAATATTTACACATAAAATGAGATATGCTGGGGGTTGGAGACTGGACCCAAGTCAAAACACAAAATGTGTCTATTACATATATACACATATACGTATATCCATAGCCTGAATGCAATTTTATACAATATTTTTCAATAACTTTGTTCATAAGACAAACTTTGTGATGTGACATCTTTGCTTACTGCATCATGTTGGTACTCAAAAAGTTCGATTTTGGAGGCTTTCAGATTTGGGGTTTTTATCATTGACAAATTTTAAATTTCCTGTTTCCTAAAACCTTTTAAGAGAGTACCTCATAGAAATCCAACTGGAAAGGAGGTAAGAAAGAAATGAAAGACAAAGATTCTCATATGTATTTTGTTTTTGTTTTAATACAGGGAGAAATCAAATGTTCAGGAATTAGAGAAGTGAGATTGACTCAGGGCATCTGCCTGGAGCTAAATGAGACCTCTAGCTGCGTAAGTCAACCCTGACCTGCTACCTCCTCCCCTCCCCCACACACCCTTTGAACATCCTTAAAGCATCTTGGATTGGGCCAGATTTTGGTAGGGGTCTGAGGAGTTCAGCAGGGAAAGGCTGCTTCTAATGTTGAGTGTTGTATTTTTTGGGAGTAAGAGGCCCCATCTGGTGGGCAAAAAAGGCAAAACCAATTGGAATAAAATTTTGTTATTTTATGTCAGATTGAAGTATGCTTTTATGTTAAGAAATTCCTTTTTGTTATCCAGATATAAATTAGTCAACTAATTCTAGTGGTAGTGTTATTATTTTCATATAACTCTATAATCCATGCAGAATTTACTTTGTTGTAATGCTGTATTTTCCATAAAACTGTTTTTCCTAACGTTATTTATTGAATGATCACCTCATTCAATAAAGCTTATATTTAATTTACATGGTAGTTTACAGGTTTCTATATGTGTGGGCACATTCTTTTTATCTTTTTAGTTTGTTTACTTTTATCTTTTTAGTTTGTTTATGCTTTTATCCGTTTTAAAATTTTAAGGTTTTTTGTTTGTTTATTTGTACTTTTAATATGCGGCTAATCAGGTCTTTCCTCATTATACTATAAAAAGTATATAGTAGTTTCCAGCTCTTCTTTTAGAAAATCTTTGAAGACATCTGTCAGCATCCAAAAAAAAATCCCACCACCATTTTAATTGGAACTGTTCTAAAAATCCTTCATTTTTTTCCCCCTAGTATTCTTTGGCATTTCTAAGCCTGGTGAGTTGTTGTTAAATTTATTTATTTATTTATTTTTAATTTAGATTTTTTTTTTTCTTCCTTGCAAGTTTTTTGTTTGGTTGATTTTTTTTTGTTTGTTTGTTTCTTTTTGTTTTGTGTTTTGGTCCAGTGCTAGGGATTAAACTCAGGGCCTCATGCGATTTAGGCAACTTTACCACTGAACTATACCTCTAGTCCGTTTCTCTGTAGGTTTGATGGATTTCTTAAGCTTGTTTATAACACGATATCCTATTATATATTCCAGTTGATTATTGTTGGGATGTTAGAAAGTTAATGGAGTTTTGAATAATTACCTTGGGTTTAACCATTTTCTTGAACTTGCTTATTAATTCCGGTAGCTTTTTATTTGGTTCTTTTTAGTTTTTGAGGAAAGCAATCGTGTTCTCTGTCACTATATATTGTTTCTCTCTTCTTCTCAGTGTTAGGGCTCTTGTTTCAGTTTCATGTCTTACTGCATTGGTTAAGAATATATATGGCCTCGTGTTAATTCTTAATGATGATACCAAGCCTCCTGCCTGGTTTCAGAAAAATCCTATTTCATGAGAATAACAAGGTTCAAGATGAAGGATGGAGGTGAAAGGAAGAGTGTTATTTACTTATAAAAAGCATTTTCTTACAAATTGGGAATTAACGAAAACACACAGGTGATGTGAACAGATTGCAGCTTATGGAGGATATAAGTATTGCAGCTTATGGAGGATATAAGTTACTTATTTTGGTCATTCCAACGACTACATCTTACTTGCAACCATCAGTTGGGTCTCTCTCTCTGACTTACACATCTTTTTAAATTTCACCTAAAAGAATTTTTAAGCCAGGGCGTTTTAAGAACGGAAATCGTGAAAACACAAGTTCACAGAATAGAATAACTTAATGCAATTTGAAAAATACACCCAGAGTGTTTCTGCTGCTGATTTCCAACCCTACTCATTAAGGGAAAAAAATTGTCAACTCTTTTGTTAACTATAACAAAGGAAAATGATCATTTTTTTTTTCCCCTATCATTTTGGTTGAGCATTTACTTTTCTGTGTATCACATCAATCTGTGCCGGAATGCTAATTCTTTGTGGCCAGGATTTAGAGCTGACTGCAGAGCTTTCAAAGTGTCTGTTGCTTTTCAAAGTGTGAACTAGGGTCATTTTAACTAGGGTCATTGTACAAGACAAGGGCCACTCTAGAAATAACTCCCATTACTCTGGTCTCTTTTTCACTGTGGTCTTTGCTGTCTGATATACTTTATGTCATAACTCTATATGTTCCTTTGAGATTTGGGGAGGACCTGTGAAGTAGGGGTTTGGAAAGAGAGCAGCTCCCCCAGTGTTCCATGCTAAAGGATTCTGCACTGCTTACAATGAATCATCCCTGTGGCAGTCAGTACATGGGTAGTTCCGTTTTCCCTGGTGTTTCTACTCCTGTCTATTACCTTTCTTCCTGAAGGGGCCTCCTCCCTAGCCCCCAAGCAGCAGTGCCTCCTACTCCCCAGGATCAATTTTCCTCAGCCTGCAGTTCTTGTTCCAGAATTTGTAGCCCTACCCAGAGCCTAATGAGGAGCATGACAGGTTCAATTTTCCTTGTTTGGTTTTCCCTATCATGTAATGTTGGTACCCACCTAATACCAGTACTCACCTGCACCTGGGTTTCATGCTCATAACAGAACTATGCATTCATGGTTCTCAGATACCCAAACCCTAACTCTGCCCTACTGCTTGGTGGGTACCAAATAGACTATTTAGGCCTGTCTTCTGTACCTACACCCTGTAGACACATAAATCTCTATTACTCTCCCTTTGCTCCCCATCCTTAGCTCCAGGCAGCCAAGGAAAGGGAAGGTGACACTGCAGTGTCCTCAAACACCTTTTTCTACATCTCAGAACGTTCATTAGCGGAACGTGTCTCCCCAGGTCTGATTTTGCATTCTCTCTGCTGCAGTGCCAGCTTAATTTAGCTTTGGTGGTTGTGGTTCCCCACATTGTTTCTAAAATGTGAGATTACTTTATTGACTTATTCTATACCTGTTGGTTGAATGGAATTCACCAAAATATTTTTTAAAAGTTTATTTTTTAGTTTTAGGTGGACACAATATTTTTATTTTACTTTTTTAAATTGTTTTTTTAAAAGAGAGAGAGAAATTTTTTAATATTTATTTTTCAGTTTTTGGTGGACACAACATCTTTATTTTATTTTTATGTGGTGCTGAGGATCGAACCCAGTGCCTCACGCATGCCAGGCGAGCGCGCTACCACTTGAGCCACATCCTGAGCCCTACCAAAATATTTTTAACTGTGGTAAAATACACATAATCTAAAATGTACCCTCAGAACCCTTTTTAAGTGTATAGTTCAGTAAGGTACATTCACATTTTTGTACGAGTCTCCAGGACTCTTTGCATCCTTCAAAACTGGAACCCTTAACCTGTAGAAGAACTCCACACTCCTCTAGGCCCTGCACACCTCCATTCCCTCTGTGTCTGTGAGCTTGGCTACTCCTCTACCTACTTCACAAAGAGTAGAATCGTGTGGTATTTGTCATTTTGCAATTGGCTTATTTCACTTAGCATAACGTTCTCCAGGTTCACCCATACATAGCATGCATCACAAATGCCTTCTTTGATAAAGTTGGATAATATTCCATTGTGTGTATATATTCCATTTTAGCTACTGTGAATAATGCATCTATAAACATGAGTGTGCAAATTATTTCTTTGACACCCTGATTTCAGTTTTGGAGTATGTATTTAGAAGTGGAATTGCTGGATCACATGGTAATTCTGTTTTTGAGGAATCACATACCATTTTTCATAATGGCTGTATCGTTTTACATCACCACTAATAGTGCTCAGGGTTCCCAATTTCAACACTTGAAATTTTCTGATTTTTTTTTATCATAACTATCTTATTTGGTGTGAAGTAGTAGCTCATTATCATTTCAATTTTCGTTTCCCTGATAATTAGTGATGGTGAGCATCTTTTCATGTACAGATTGGCTATTTGTGTATCTTCTTTGGAGAAATAATAATTCAAATCCTTCGCCCACAAATTTGGTTTTTTACTACTACTTTTTTTTTTTCTTTTGTGGTGCTGGGGATTGAACCCAGGGACTTGTGCATGCAAGGCAAGCATTCTACCAACTGAGCTCTATCCCCAGCCCCACTGCTACCTTTCTCTAGTGCTACATCTGTTTATGTGCAGGGCTTGTTTCTACTCAGCTAGCTCACATTACTCTTATTCTGTCATATTGACTTCGTCTGGGCTGGGCTGCCTCCAGCCCCCAGATCACATCTCCAGCCCCCGCCTTCTTTGCCCTCTGCCCAAACACTAAAGGTCAGTTTCCATGCACAAAACATAAGCTCGAGATGAAAAACTTATGAAGACAGTGTGTCTCTTGGAAAGAACCTGAGCTCTAGAGACAATCTAGTTTCTCACCCTTGGTTACTGTCCCTTTGTTTTTTGACTTCTAACAAGTCCTTGAATTACTCCTCCTCATGTCAAAATATAATTTTTACCTGCACTGTCAGATGCACACTGCAAAGTAAAAATAACATTATTTTTGAAAGGGCTGGTTGAGGAAGATTGATCCTAAAATTTCAGCATTGGGAAATAAATGACTTCAAGGTCTTTAGAAAAATGCCTGTCCCTCCCCTCACTCCCATCTCAGTGCCTGAGGTTCTTCTTACATATGTTTGGAGACTTTGCAAAGTTTGAATATGCTGCTCTAGAAAAGTTAGATGGTTTTATTATTTCTCCAAAGTCACATGTGTGAGCAGATATAATTAGGGGCTCATAAATCTGATTCTCATGAATAAAATGGTGAGGCTGTGGCTTCCTCCTGCCCACTCTCCCATGATGTTTGCCCGCGCAGTGTCTCTTGGGGGAGGATGTTTATTCCGAGCATCCGGAGAAGCATTGTGCTTTGTTCAGGACCCACCTGCTCCTCGCTAGGCCCAAACACAATTCACTGAGGCCCTTGGATTCCAGAGTGGGAGGCTGGCTGCTCTTATTCCCTTGAATTTAGTCCAAGAAGTTAAGCAAGGGGGGGACCCCATGTGGAAGCCAACCAGTGGGGTGTTAAGTTGAACAACAATTCCTTGAGTTCTGTTGTTTGCTTGGTTTTATGATTAGTGCAGTCCAGGTTCAAAATTATGTATGGTACACCCTCGCCCCCACCCTATGCACATACTCAGAAAGTCTTACAGTCTAGTTAGAGAGAAATGATAGGCAGAATATGGTAAAATATGGACTCTGTGTGATATAGTATATAAGGTCTTGCTATTAATATAGTAATAGCTGCCATTTATCTAGTGTCCACTAGGTTCCCAGTGTATTGGACATTGTTCATACAATGTCTCTTTAGTCACGCAAACAACCCAGTTTATAGCTGAGGAACTTGACACTCAGACTAGCTGCATAACTTGTGAAGATTCTAGTCAACGGCCAAAAAAGGGTTGATGCCCTGCACGTCCACTGTGGTACCCAGTTAGTTCCCTGGTATCTTTCCCCACCAGCCTCACCTGCAGGCATTCTACCCCTTCTTCAAGATCTATTTTGAGATGTTCCTGATAATAACTCCATGCCAGACATGACCTCGCCGTCCTTTGTATGTTCTTAGCACTTTGGTTGTACCTTTGTCATGATACTTGCCATGTAAATAGTCTCTGTGTGCCTCCGTTTCTTCATCCACGAAATGAAGAGAATAATTATGCCCATCTTCTAGGCTTGTAGGAGGCCTAAATGTACATGAAGAACCCTTAGGACTGTGCCCTAGACATAGTAAGCATCATTTATTTTAATTGCTGTGTGCAAACAAAGACCCTGCTACAGGAAGAAGGAGTTTTGATTGTGTGGAATTCATAGACCATCCCATCCTCAAACCCCAAAGAAAGCAGTTTTCAACAGTTACTTCTTTTTTTTTTTGGAAGGGGGGCAGTTATTGAGGATTGAACCCAGGGGTGCTTAACCACTGAGCCACATCCCCAGTCTTTTTTTATATTTTATTTAGCGACAGAGTCTCGCTGAGTTGCTTAGGGCCTTGCTAACTTGCTGAGGCTGGCTTTGAACTCATGATCCTCCTGCCTCAGCCTCCCAAGCTGCTGGGATTACAGGCACACCAGGCGTGTGCTACCGCACCCGACCGCAGTTTCTTATCTTCAGGGCTTGATAAATGCCAGAGCAGCTGTAGAGGTGCAGCTTCTGAGCACTGAGAAGTAGGGGAAGGTGGAAGGTGCCATTCTCTCTGGCTACTTTAGATCCTAGGGGTGCCCTGCCCCTCTGTCTCCCTCAGGAAGCAGACATTTTTCAGCCAGAGACACTTCAGAAACCTGCTGGGGAACTTCCTACCCTCTGTCCAGAAGGCATAGTGGGTGAGGGAGGAGAACCGGGTCTACCCAATACTCTTCCGATAGGAGACTGCTGGTCATATCCAATGTGGGGGTCCACACTGCCTAATGCAAATGTATTAAAGAGCCAGACTTTTCCAGAAGGAGAGTCTCTACCCAAAGACTTACTGGGAAACCTGCAGAACTGATCTTTTAATGGAGGGAAGAAGCAGCAGGGGCCTGAGGATGCACTTCTCTGTGACCTAGTCTTGGCGGGTGATTCAGGCTACCGTTGGGCTCCTGTCTTGTGACCCGGATTGACCAGCCCTGCTCTTCTCGCCTTGTCCATGCCCAGTTATTTTCCCTTACCTCCCTCAAATTCCAGTGGGGGGCTAAAGCCAATCTTGACCTTGCCTTGTGCAGAAGCAAAGGAACCTGGGTTTTCCTGACTTAGATCTTAGCAGTAGGAAAATACCCAGGCTCCTTTCCAACTGGGAGGACCTCTGGCCTTGCCACGAGCAGCAGCCCTGCCCGCAAACAGGAAGCGTTCTCCTCCACAGAGGCCCAGGTCTGATGACTGTCACACGCCCCAGCAGTTTTCCCCAACAGGAAAGTTGTCAGAGCCATCAGGCATTTCCGCCTCTGCCATCTGCCATCCGGACAGAGGAGAAAGTCTTAGTTTCGGTTATGCAGGGGAGGTCACTCTGATGGGAGGCTGCTGAAATAAGTCCCGGGAAGTGGGAGATCAGGGTTTTGAAGGGCAAAACCAATGCTTCCAATTCATACCTTTCCTGGGACTCATTTGTTGAAGTTCATCTTCTGAGTCTGAGTTCCCGAGTCTTAGGAACCAGTCAGCAACCTTGGAGAGGGATACCTGGACTTCATTAAGATTTTTATGCTTTTGATGGAAAAGGGGTTGAAACACCAGATAAAAACATCATTTCCATCTGAGCAGTGCCCTTTAGGAAACCCCTCTGCACAGGGAGAGGGAGGGTCCCTCGTAAGTTTGTCCTCCACTCACCTTCATTGGCTTTTCTGCCATCATTTGAGTCTAATGTAACCTGCAAACAAGGATTTTCTCTTAGTTATTTTTGAATTATTGTTCATCATTTCTGTTAGTGATTTGTTTTTCCTTCCTTCCTCCCTTTCTCTCTCTCTCTCATTATTCTCTCTCTCTTTCTTTTTGATACCAGGGATTGAACCCAGGGGCACTTAACCACTGAGCCACATCCCCAGCCCTTTTATATATTTTATTTTGAGACAGAGTCTCACTAAATTACTTGGGGCCTCACCAATTTGTTGAGTCTAGCTTTGAACTTGTGATCCTTCTGCGTATGCACAAATGGGCAATCTTATTTAAAGATAACATTTCCTGAGTCTGTTCTCTGATGTCTTAGATACTAATAAGTATATGTTTTGGTACAGGAAAATTTAAGGTAATTTTTTTTTTTTTTTTTTTACTGTTTTGTTAGTAACTATTTTTTTTCAATGGGAATTTAAGAAAGACAGGTTCTTCTTGAGAGAAGGGGTAATTTATAATTTCTGTCAGAATTGTTACCTGAGACTATAAATGCAGTTCAGAGGTACCGGGAAGTTCATCTCCTACTTTCTGTTGTTCTGTTTTCCTAGGAGGACTTTAAGAAGGATAGAGGAGAGGACCTGATTCAAATACTGTGTGGGAAAGAGGATGTTGATTCTGGGACTGGCATGTGCTCCTTGCTTCTCGCCCAGTCTGAAGTTAAACCTCAGTGCCTACTGCTGGTCTTGGCCAATGGAACAGGTAAGGATGCACCTTTTCTCAGGGAGTAGGGCTGAGATTAGACAGGCCTGAGGTTAAAAGATCCTGGGTCGAGATCCCACATCTGAGCTCCAGAGACCATAGGTGCCGAGATGGACCAACCTGGCCATCAGAGCATCTTCTAGAACAGCATGGGAGGATATAGCTGCATAAGTTTGTCTAGCTTCTAGATTTAGCAAATCCTTGTTTCTAATTCTAGAACTTCCCAGCAAACTCCAGCTTCTGAAGAAACACCAGTCTAAGCTGAGAAAGGTAAGTTCTCTGACATGATGGGTCTCCGAGGGAACACGGGGTCAGGGAGTAGTAATTATCTGCTCCAGAAGTTTCCCTTCCTGCCCCTCCATTCTTCTCTGACAGTCTTCACATTCTTCTGATTGAACCAAAAATTTTACAGTGCAGCTCAATTCAGAGATGTCAGTCTTAAGCCCTGTCTCAGAAATCCCCAAGGTCACTATCCTCTTGTGTCTCTTCATTGTTGAGTTGCACTCGGGGATATAAAGTAAGCTGGCCTTCCTCTCCTAGAAATCCTTTTCTACAAGTGACAGGCTGCCTTTTCTGTGTCTTCTCCTCAAGCTGGGGATCCAAAGTTTCGTGAAACAAGATCTTGGAAACCACCAGAGTTATTCCAGAAAGACCCTGATTGCACTAGTCACCTCAGGAATCCTGCTGGCCATCTTGGGCACTACTGGCTATTTCCTGATGAACCGTCGCAGTTGGAGCCCCACAGGAGAAAGGCTGGTCAGTTCTGGGGTCCAGGGCAAAGGAAATGAGGAAGATAGTGGTCTTCTGGGGAGGTGGGGTATCATGGGTATCATGGAGGGGGAGGAGAAATACCAGAGGACACTTCACCTGTGTGCTCCTGTATGGGGATACACATTCATGCATATACTGTATCCGTTGAAAAATCAGAACAACATAAAGCAAGATGGTGGGTAAAGTTACTGGGGCCAGCCCGCTTATTCACTCTCAGAGCAGATGATTCATGGCATTGTGTTTCCTGGGCTAGTTCAGCTGAGTACATCCAGAACCGACCACTAAGTCAACCATAGTTATTTATAAGCATATTGAAGGCCCAGTAGGTGCCATCTTGCTTCTACTTTTGAAGTGTTCTGGACAAGGGGAGGACAAGACTGAGGCATGCCTCTTGGACTTGGGAGGTCACCTACTCTGGGGAGTTTATTCCACCCTTAGGACGGCCAGTTGTCTTGGGGGAGTTGGCTACTGGGCTCTGGTGGCGCGGTGTGGTGCCTCTCCTCTGTCCTTTTTCCTCCAGGAGCTGGAACCCTGACGGCTCTACGGGAAGAAAGGAGCCTGCACGTGCAGCTGCGTCTCCTCTCCCTCCCTTCCCCTCCTCCCTCTGGTCTCCCTCCTCACAGTGTCTCACACCCCTGCTGACCAGATAATGCTACTTTATTTATACACTGTCTAGGGCGAAGACCCTTATTACACGGAGAACGGTGGAGGCCAGGGCTATAGCTCAGGACCTGGGTCCTCCTCTGAGGCTCAGGGAAAGGCCAGTGTGAATCGAGGGGCTCAGGAGAACGGGACCGGCCAGGCCTCCTCCAGAAACGGCCATTCAGCAAGACAACACGTGGTGGCTGATACCGAACTGTGACTTGGCTGGGTGGGGCAAGACTGGGCAGTGTCCAGGAAAAAGTGGCCCCTCTCTGCCTCTTGACCACATATTGCCTCCGTGCTGGAGGCAACATCTCTCATGTCCTACCCTTCCCCTCTGTGTGCACCCCAGAGGCCACTCGGGGGGACCCTCCACTTTCCAGGTGCCCTTTATACATTCAGCTCTCTGAGCCTAGACTCTGGTCTTTTCTTGGTAAAGGTGTGGTGGGGAAAAGCCAAGGTCCAGAGGAGCTGCCAGGGTGGTTGATGGCCTTGCAGCATCCACACAGGGACCCCCTCCTTCTCTCCTGCTCTCTGCCCCCTTACAGAAGCCCCTAGGGGAAAGGATGGGCTTCTCTAAGATATATCTTTCTCCCAGGAGGCTTTTACTGTTTTTTCCTTGTATTTCTTTCTCCAAACTACCCCTTGTACCTGCTCCCTTGCAATGATATAACCAGAAAAAAACACGTTGTCTTAAACCTTGTCCCTTATCCTTCCTCTAAGACACTGTGGGTTTAGCCACCAGCTCCATACTTGCTCTCCCAAGTTCCTGCAAGCTTCATGTGTCTCCCTCTGTCCACATACAGAAGCTGGCACACTTTTCTGGCTCCATGTTGTAGAAGAAACAGCTCAGTCCTGGTCTCTCAGGGGTCACACAGAGTCTCCTTGGATCAAAGTGAGCAGGACCATGAGACCAGATCCAGATCTCTGAGCAGAACCTCTTGACCTGTGCTATTCTGCAGAATTCTCTTTGTGCTGAGGCTGGATCACGGTCTCCTCTTATCTGCACAGCTTCTGTTCCCCTCCTCTGACTCCTGGGTTGAGCAGTGACCTCAGCCCCAGCCGACTTCTGTTTCTGCCTCCCCCACCCGAATCCCTTCATTGCTCTGCATCTCCAGATAGTCAGAGCCCCATGACTTCTCCCAAAGATCACAAGCTTCCTCATCTGGGGGAGACCCAAGTCCTTTTCTGTTGTTGTTTTTCTAGAGGGGTGAGCAGGGATCCTGGTTTCAATAACGGTTGGAAAGAGAACTTTCCAGAAATGAGGATTGGGTGGATTTTTTTTTTTTTCTGAATAAAAAGTTGTGTGTTTAAATACTGTAATTAAAGTAATACCGAACTATCTGTTCTGTGGGGCTATCCCAGCTAGATGTTCTGAATGACAGAGTAGTCCCATCAGACCCAGCAGGACCATGCAGCAATGTGGTGGGGAGGGCCAGCCTGGGAAGAGGTTGACCATCTCAGGGGACACAGGTACCAATTAGGAGGCTGAGGATCTGTGGTCCAGTTTGCCAACTATTCTCTATGGGGGGAGGCAGGGAGGCTGGATATTTCCAGTAGTAGAGAGAAATGCAGGCTCTAATGGAGCAGGGACCTTCAGGAAGGAGGGTGATGTGCCTGGGACTTAGGAACACCCTTCTGAAAAGAGGAACACACTGGTGCTGCATGCAAAATATGCAAAACAAAGGAAAGGGATGATGTCCTAGGCAGCCTCTGTTACCAGACCATCTAAGGCCCCAGCTCAGAGCAGAAATAGCAAAGGACGATGTGGAGACTTTTCTAGAAATCTGGCAGCCAACTCCAGGAGGGGAGCCGGTTTCCACCCTCAGGATTTCAGCTGCTATCTGTAAGCACTCACCTCTTTCCAACTTCCAGATGCCCCCACCCCAGACCACAGGAAATGGGGCGGGGAGGGTGCTGCTGGACACTCCCAGTAGCCTCAGGAAACACCTCCAAGTGTGTCAACAGTGGCAGAGGTGGCTGGGCCCTAACAAAGGTTGATTCTTCCATTCTTATCTTGACAAAGCCAGACCTTTCCCCCTAGCCCTCCCCCTCCCCCATGTGTCTCTGGCTTTCCTCCAACTTCTCTAACCAGAGGTTCTTCCACAGAACCCAGGAGAGGTGAAGGGAGGGGGCTAGAACCCTCCTGGGACTGGAGGAAAGCAAGACGGTAATCAGAAAGAAAAATCCAGTTGGCTTCCAACTAGTAGCACATTTTGTCATGAGTGACCATTTGAGAGTGTGACCCAGTTAGAGGAAAAGAAGCAATTGCGTCTTGGAGCCATTTTCCCTGAGTATATGAACGTGTAGGCTTTGGAAGGAAGGACTGTGTTCCCGGGGGTGGGGTGGGGGGTGGGAAGGGTAGGGTTCTCCACCACAGCTGGGAAGCTTTGCTTCCTCAGAAAAATCAAACTTTCCCACCTTTGACTTGCACATCCTGGTGCAGCAATGGCTCCACCTGCTGGTCTTGCTGAGCTCCTACTGCTCGGCCTCAATTCAAGTGGCTCCATGTTGAGTTTCTCTCTGCCACTGCCCCACCCTGAAGAGTCTAGTCCAGTTTATGTCATACACAAAACTCATATAACCACAGAAAGGCACTGATGGAGAGGACCTTAAAGATACATTCAACCCAACTTCCTTATGATATAGTTAAACACAAACTAAGGCTCAGAGAAAGGACACAACTTGCCCAGTCAGCTAGAATTCACAACTCCCGAATGGGAAACTTTTACCTTCATCATATCACCCTGTTCTTCTGCGGAGTCCTCTGGGTTCCTCTAGTTGGATGCCATGAAGTCAGTAAAGGAATGTCAGGGTAGGTCTGGGGCTTCCCATTTGGAGCATTTCACCAACATGCGGTATGTGTGGCCTGGCCCTCCAGCAGGTCCTGGGCCTAGCAATTAAAATCCCAGGAGATGGCGAGGTTCAGCTCCTTCTGCTGTGCCCTGGGGCTCTCTGCCATATTACACTGTTCATTACAGACTCATGTCTGCCAGATTTTCATCTAAATGGATAAATGAGAGTACACTCAGCCTTGATGAACAGGTCATCCCCATTCCATTCCTTCTAAGTAGATCAAGTCCACACTTCCTTTTCACACAAACCCGGGAAAGGGTGAGCAGTTTTGTGCAACCAGATGTTTCTTCCGTCCAAGGAATTTCCAGCCACTGTTAAGTCATTCACCAACTTTTATTAAACACTTGTTATTTGTCATTCACTGTTCTAGAGTCTGGAGATATAGCAGATGTTCACGGAGCTTACAATTCTAGCAAGGAGATAAGCAACAATCTTATCTCAGGAAACATATAGGTATGTTTTCGGGGCATATGAAGAGCTATAAAAATATAAAATACAGAAGTTCCCCTTTATATGTTCTAAGATGTCTAAAACCGCAGATAGCACTAAACCCTACATATGAATAGTGTGATCGTGCAGTAATTGACCTGATAACCGAGATAGCTACCACGTGACTAGCAGGCGGGTAGCTCATACAGTGTGAATACTCTGGACAAAGGGAATATTCATGGGCTGGCCAGGACAGAGTGGGATGGAGAGAGATTTTTTTAGCATGTTACTCAGAATAGAATATTAAATTTTCCATTTAATATTTTCTGATTGTGGTTAACCATAGGTAAGTGAAACTGGAAAGAAAAACTAAAGGGGATGAGTGTAGATTGGGAGTAATGGTTGGTGTTTTATATGTGGTAGTTACTTTTAAAGAGGTGGCAGTTGAGAGCATAGGTTCGTTTGAAAGAAGAAGTGGATCTGGTTATAGGTCAAGCTGGAGAGCTCCTCCCATGCAGAGCAAATAGCAAGTGCAAAGTTCCATGAAGCAGACTTGTCAAGGGCAAAAAAGTGTGAGGGAAGGCAAGATGGCCATTGAGGCTGCATTGGTGAGAGGGGAGAATGACAGGAGGCCAGATCATATTAGGCCTTTTAGTGGAAATCACCATTTTGAGCAGAAAAGTAATTTGATCTGATTCCTGTTTTAAAAAGATCCTGCTGGCTGCTGAGTTAAGAATAGAGATAGAGGACAAAAGAGGAGAAGGAAGGAGACCAAGTAGACTCTAGTGACAGTGTCACGGGAAACGCTCATGGCCAGGAGCAGATGATCCTGAAGTGGAATTCAAAGATGTTTTGAGCCAGGAGCAGTGGAGCACACCTGTAATCCTAGTGGCTTGGGAGGCTGAGGCAGGAGGATTGCGAGTTCAAAGCCAGCCTCAACAAAAGTGAGATGCTAAGCAACTCAGTGAGAACCTGTCTCTAAATAAAATACAAAATAGGGCTGGGGATATGGCTCAGTGCCCCTGAGTTCAATCCCCAGTAGCCCCCCTCAAATAAAAAGATGTTTTGAAGTTAGATCTAATAGCACTTGATCAGTGCATTTATTCCTTCAAATAATACAACAATTTATAGGAGCTAACCTTCATTGAGTACTTAAAAAAATTGAGACACAGCATCAATGTTAAAATAGAGTATTTTACTTAATACTCACAGAACTTCAACAAAGTAGGTACTATTCTTTTAGAAAAAGAAACAGAAACTCAAAGAGTAACAAGGAACCATGTGAGATGCTCAGCCAACAGAGGTTGAGATGAAGAAGATATGCATTTATTTGTACCCACAGATTTTAAAACATTGCAAAGAATACTATAAGTATATTCAAACAAATAACAACAAAATAAATACAAAGAATAAAATAAGAAATGATATCCCAGAAGTCAATATGAAGTACAGTGCATCCAGAGTGGGCGGGCTCCTTCCAGCTGGGGAGATCTGGGTAGGTCTGTGAAGGTGGGTATGATTTTGATGGTGGTGATGAGTTGAGGACATCTGGAGCCAAAAGAAGAGCACATACAAGATGGAGTCAAGAAAGTAAAAGTTACTTTCAAAGAACAGTCTTTTTCTCTGTATAACAGAGAAAGAGGATGTGTTAAGGGAAAGTGAGTTCCAGAAAATTCGGTGTGTCACTGATTGTGTAGGATGGATAAAGCTGGACCAGAGTTTAATTTTATTTAATTTTATTCAGTAGAAATGGAAAAAAAAAACAGAAAAAAATGAAATTATTTGTTAATTTATTTGAAAATAATTATTATTCCATTACCTAACATGTAACAAAATGAAAAATAATTATATTTTACAAAAAAAAATTGAGAAAAAGAGTGGCACTGTTTTACACTTTGATAAATTTCTAATATCTGGCTTAATAGAAGATTGCCAATTCTCTTATGTGCCTCTGTATTAGATCTGTTGTGATACTACATGTGGTGCAGCCTCTGGAACTCCACTCTGCACTTGTGAGAGAATGAAAGTGAAGAAGGAAAATAACATTTTAGCATTAATATGAAAATAGTTTTGATTTCAATGACCCTTTAGATTTGTTTAAGGAATCCCCAGGGGACATTGGATCATACTTTAAAAACTCCTACTCTCAATCTGCACAATTTCAGTACCAACTAGCCTCATGCGGCTACTGAGCACTTGAAATGTGGCTAGTATGAATGAGGAACAGAACTTCCAATTTTATTTCATTTTAATTAATTCAGCTTTTAAAATGAACCATATACATTGTGTGTGTGTAAAATATAACCTTTAGTTTTAGTAAAAAAAAATATATATTTTGTTTTAACCCTTAAAATTTAACATCTGAATTGAGATGGGCTTTGTTAAGTACATGCCAGATTTTAAGGATTTCAAGAGAAAAAAAAGTATCTCATGAGTACTTTTTTAAATATTAAGTTTGTGTTGCTATGATAACATCTTGTATATACTAGATTAAATAAAATGTATTTTAAGATCAATTTCATGGCTAGAGTTGTAGCTCAGTGATGAAGCGCTTGCCTCACACATATGATGCAACTTTGATTCTTAGCGCCTCATAAAAATAAATAAATGGTCCATATACAACTAAAAATATCTTTTAAAAAAGATTAGTTTCACCTTTTTACTATTTAAAACGTGGCTACTAGCAAATATGAAATGACAATAAAGAAGCTGGGATGTGGTTCAGTGGTAGAGTGCTCACCTAGCATGCATGAGGCGCTAGGTTCCATCCTCAGTACCACGTAAAAAAATAAATCAAAAAAATAAAGGTATTGTGTCCATCTACAACTTTAAAAAAATTCTAAACAAACAAACAAAAACAAACAAATAAATAGCTCACAGTGTAATTCTATTGGGTAGTGCTGCTCTAGATGAATCCAGACAATACTGGCTGGCTTTGTGTGCCACCTGAGGTGTATTCTTCACTGTGAAGGTAATATAGTGCCA